GATCAAACAACAAACCCACATCCCTAAATCATACCTGTGTCTCCAGCAAACTCTGACCTTCAACTTATTTATTGTGGCTTAAATCCTGAATAAGTTTGAAAAGCATTCATACGGACATATACCTATTTTACAGTGTTTTAATGATGTTTGTTTGTTTTTTTTTGTCCTTCTGAGAGCTTAACGGTATGGTCTCTATCATCTGCCACACAGTTAAAAAAATATATAAATAAAACTGATTATTGCAGTATGCTTTACAAGAAAATACTATTTCAGTTGTTGAATTTTTTTCTGTGTAATTATTTGTGAAATACGTGTGATATATAGGTAGATTTATGTATGCATTTAATTACTATTGTTTTAAATGTTTATTATTATTATTATAAGAAATTAATATGTTTATTCTGCAAGAATGTTAAATTGGTGAAAATCTCTATCTGTTTTTTTTTACTTCTTTTTCATCAAAGAATCCTTAAAAAAGTATTAAAAGCTCCAGAAAAATATTAGGCAGCACAACTGTTTCCAACATTGATAATAAATCAGCATATTAGAATGATTTCTGAAGGAGCATGTGACACTGAAGACTGGAGTAATGATGCTGAAAATTCAGCTTTGATCACAGAAATAAATTACATTTTAAATTAGAAATCCAGTATTTAAAATTGTAATAATATTACAACATTTTTAACAAATGCAGTCTTGATGAGCATAAGAGACTTGATACCAATCTTTTAAACGATAGAGTAGCAATATATAAAATATTCACCAAACTCTGATCTATAACTTATTCGATGTTGTTTTAATCCTAAAATTTAATATGGACACACAGATTTATTTTATAGTGTTTCAGTTAAGTTTTTTTTTTTTTGTCCTTTTGAGAGCTTGAACTGATATTATCACTATGAAGTACCAGCATTGAAACTTTGCAGAGGACTTGCAAAAATGTAATGTTTTTTAAAGGTGTGTAAGCAAAGACATTTTTCATGTCCCCTCTGATGCTCATCATCAGTTGTATGTTGTGCTGCTCCTCTCCACCTCTAGATGTCCCCAGAGCGCACCTGAAGAGTTTCCATCAGGTTCCAGAAATCTGCCCGAGACTTTCCGCAATCTGCTAAATCTGTTTCTCCTTTGAAAGATTAAAGTCAGATGAGTCAAGCCCTTCAGAAGCCCATCGAGCAGATAAAGAGGGAATGGTGTCTCTCTCTGAGATGCAGCGAGACTGCGCTCGGTTTAGTCTAATTGCATGACTCAGACTCTAGTATACTCAAGAACTGTGTGGGCAAATCCAGGTTGATGAAGCTTGCAAGACAATCCAAATATCCTGCCTGATGTTACAAAACATCTGTCCACTGGGTGGTCCAATCGACTTGTGTGACTAATGGCAAGATATGTGATAGAGACGTACAGAAGTCTCATATTAGCATCATATCATCAGTTTTCCACGATAGCATGCATAGTAACTAGGGATGTAACGATTAACCGCGAGCCGGTTGAAAATCGATTAAAATATGTGACGATTCAAATCGGTTGAGATGCTAAACAAATCGCGATTCAATTAGGGGTAGTTTATATGAAAGTATGTCTGAGGGGAACTTACTGTCTTTAGAAAAGTTTAGATGGTATTTTTTCTATTCATCTTGCCTCTGTATAATGCATATTAAAGTTCATAAGTGCAGCGCTGCTTTGTTTACAGCGGAAACCAAGGAAAGCTTTAAGCGCCACCTGCTGGCAGAGAGTGAATCTGCGTCTCATTCAGCTCGTCTGCTGTTTCTGTTTCATGCAGATA